GAACAACACACAACACAACTCCAAACCAAATCAAATACAAACAAACCGACACCAGTTCACGTGGATGTTTTCTCTGCTCTATGAATAAAAATGTAAACGAACCAATGAATGTACGTTTACAAACGGCATTCGAATCGGAAAAACAAGTCTAGTTTCTATTTTTTTTCAGTTTTGGTTTTGATTTATAACGATAAATGTGGCAAATCTATTGCTCCCTTCAAGACACTTCAAAGCAGTTGAGCTAAGCTCCAAGAGATGAGATGATGCATTGCCATGCAGCCACAATGTATTGTAGTTTGTTGTTGTTGTTCGTCGTGTCGTTTGTTTGGTTGTGCGTTACCATGCGACAATTATCATGTGGGTGGTTAAATGGTGAACTAAACCGATTCAAGTGTATTCTGGACAACAATTTGAGAATTTATTGAACTCACATGTCTTTAAGAAATTATAAATCTTCCATTGTTATCGATATTGTCTACTGTGCACAATGGGCAGTACTGACCGAAGAGGGTAGTACTAAACCCCGCTCATGAACAACTTTCAATGTCGCTGCTATAGCCCAAAGAATAAGTGGAAACTTCGGGTTTGGTGTCATGTGAAACTTAGGGTCTACGCCAATAGCGCGGAGTTTATATAAGACTCAATGATAGAATTCGTGAGGTTATTGGGACAAAGGGCAGAAACATTGCGATTTAGGTTAGCTTAAAAATATGATTGGTTTACGCTATCATGGTATTAGGTAGGTAATTCCACAAATAACCATTAGTCTATAGTTGCCTTTCTCACACCTGCTGATACCGGCTCACCCAATCGTGTATAAATGTGTCTGCAGGCTGACATCTCCATTGAGAATGCCTGTCGGTCTGTTGATTCCGTTTTTCTTAAGGTTGTGATTTGCTTTTGTGTTCGTTCCATTCCCCTCGTTATGCTCAACTATTTTGTGGGTCCCTTTAGCCTATGATTTAATTTCTAGAGGATTCCTAGGAAGAATTTTTGAAAAAGGATGCTTGTGGTGGTCATTGTACAGAAAAAAAAACATTTATAATGAATATTTACATAATTTCATAACTTGATTACAAGTCTAAAATTCTTATAATCATGAGGACACCACTATTTTTTTTTCTCTAGATTAAAATCAAATTCGGAACTAAGATATTCTTTGTCATCATCACTACGGATTGTTTTTAATTTTTTTGATGTCGCACAATGAACTAAATTTTTTAAAAGCTTTATATACATCACCTTTGTTCTATAGAAATGAACAAGCATCATTCGGGAGTAGTCGTCAATAAACAGAACAAAATATCTGGACCGCCGATATTACTCTCATTGGGCCGCAAACATCCGTATGGACCAATTCTATAGGTTCTTTATCTTTTTGGGAATGGTTGAGTGGCCACAACGTTTGTGCCACTTCATGAAACTAGGTTTCAAATACATGCCGTGTACCGTTCTTGCGTTTGTTTTGCAGACATACAAATTGTCAGTTTTTATCCAGTCAAAATTGTACGTCCATTGATGACTCTAACTTCTGGCCATGTATCATCAAAAATTGTAATTTGCTTTTCTTAGGTAAACTTCGCAACAATTAAGAAATTATATATTAATTTTGGTACGAGGAACACGTCTTTATGATAAATTGTTTACCGGTATTTGTTACCAATCTTATACTGCATATTCCCTCTGATAATAAGTGTGTCTGGTTACTTTTCCAGTAACATTTATTCAGTAAGTTCTAGTTCAGAGAGTAAGCCTTTCTTACTCTCTTTTGCGATAATACTGAAAAAAGTAAACAGACAACTTTTAGTAAGATTTAGCAAATAAACAGCTGATTCAAGAAAACATTTGATTTGCGCCAAAATAAACAACAAACAAAGGACGAACACAATTATTTGTATTACATTTAATATTAAAAATAAAATAAATAATAAAAGAAAAATTGATCTGGTATGTTCCCCGGGACCATTTAAGCTCCCTGCATCAATACATTGCCCTCTATCTGGAACTTGCCTAAAAATATATAAGGAATTAGTTTCTAATTTAATGAAACTTTGCATTACTTACGAATTTTCTTCCATTTTCTGTAATTAACTTCAAATTGAACATTGCAAATTAAAAAATAAAATGTTTTAAATAATTTTTGTGTTTGGTCAGAAAACAGCTGATCAGAAAATGGCTGAGTTGCAAAATCTTACTGAATAAAATTCTTTCAGTAAACTCCAGCAACTTTGTTGTTGTTCAACTGTCAAACTTGCTCTCTCACTTGACTCTCTTTTACTGGATTTTTGTGTAAACAGACAACATTTACAGCCTGTTTTTGTAAAATTCCAAACGAACGAATTCGAGTGACTTACGACCAAACCTTTATTTATGTTTATAAAGGTTTTCTGATTCAAAACAAAAATAAATGACATATTTTTCAAAACCAAGGAGATTAGTCGTAATTCACTCGAATTCGTTCGTTTGGAATTTTACAAAAACAGGCTGTTAGTAACATTTGGTAACAAATTTTACCAAATATCGAGTTAACAGACAGAGCTAATATGTAATAACCTCCGGCCAGTTCAATTCGCTCTTTGTGAGTTCGAAACACATTTAACACGTTGCTCCAAAACTCTGGATTCACTTAAAAGATTACATGAATTTAATCGATTCTACATAGCATTCACCTCAGACTTCATACTCCAACAGTTCCTTGCTATATGACACACTTTTCCCCAATTATAGCCTTTAATTCTCTTCGTATTCCTATTTTCTACGTCGATTTTCAGTTTATTTGGTATATTTCTGCTCAAAACACTTCGTGACTCTCTTCCAGTCGTCTTCTTTCAAATTCTTCTAGTAATATGAAATTCAGGATTGACAAAAAAGGTAAAGAGCCCCTAGATTCCGTGGCAACCATGAAACTTTTCCACAATTTCATTGGGAATATTGACATCTGTTTCACGCAGCTTATTTGTAGTTTCGTTGAATGCCGTCTATCCGTCCGTCCGTCCATGTATTTTGGTTAACAAAGTACAGGTCGCATTTATGATCCGATTGGGATGAAATTTGGCACAGTTCACTTATTTGCCCCAAGGACGAGCCCTATTGAAATTGGAGAAATTCGGACCAGATTTAGATATAGCTCCCATATATAGTTTCGTCCGATTTACGCATGTCCGTCTATCCGTCCGTCCGTCCATGTATTTTAGTTAACAAAGTACAGGTCGCATTTATGATCCGACTTGGATGAAATTTGGCACAGTTCACTTATTTGCCCCAAGGACGAGCCCTATTGAAATTGGAGAAATTCGGTCCAGATTTAGATATAGCTCCCATATATAGTTTCGTCCGATTTTTTGTGAATGGTGCACCAAACTACCAATATTTGTGCGATTGGGACAAAATTTTGCATAGAGTACTAAATTAGGTCCATACTGGTGTCTCCGATTTTTTTTAATCGGTTCAGATTTAGATTTAGCATGATATAGAAATCTGCCTGTTTGATATGCAATTTTTCATTGATTTCAGAATGGTATGTGTATGGTATGTTTTCAATTGGTCCAAAAATATATATCTAGATAACACATTTCATTCCGTCCGATTCTATGTCTGTTCTATCTACAGGATATTGTGCATATTAACATATATCGTATGTACCCAAAGTGGTGAAGGGTATCATATAGTCGGCCCCTTCCGACTTTTGAACTTTCCGTACTGGTGTGAATAGCTGCAAACACCATATAAAAATAGATTAAAATACGCTCCTTCTCACGAGAATTCCAATGTTTTCTACTTATCGCGAATGATAAAGTTACAAGGGCCTGTTCCAAATCGGTTCTTACGCAATTGTCTTTGTGTGTGTCAATGGTTATTCAGTTGAATGTGTGTGAGAGAATAGTGATATTTACTCTCGCGAGAGAGCACGCGTGCGGTGGTGTGCGAATATTCTTTGGCGAATGCTCGTTTGGTAAAGAATTTATCGCCATAAATTCATTCGTAAAATGAGCACAAAACGAAAAGAATGTATTTTGAATAATTCGCGAGCGAATTTTTGCGCACACTGCATCAATGAATTTTACCCATTTTTCGAAAAAAAACCTGAAAAAACAGTTTGTCAACAACAATCAGATTTGAACCCTTGTATAGGAAAAAGTATTTGACGTATCAGTACCAAATTTCCGAGAAATTTGGTTTTGACCATTTGGTCGTGACACAAGTGCTATACAATTAGAACCCAAAATACCAAATAACAGCTAATTTGGTTGTCCGAAATCCCCAAAATTAAGAATAGTGGGTTTGTTTGAGTATTAAACTTCCACCCATAGTGCAAAGATCCTAAGAACTCTTTTAAATACTCTAACCAGGTTGTTGGGAAGCTTGAAATAATGCTGGCACAAGGAAATGTTTTCTTGCCATAATATTGTGCAAAATAGACTCACGCATTTTTTCACTTCAACTCTTTTTTTTGCGATACATTCAATATATTTTATATTTGCTGAGGTTAGTTTGTTCACTGCGGACCTTGACCATCCATGAAACGAAAGTCAAACAGACGGGCGTTCATAGCTATCGAATGAAAGCTTTTGTTCATTCTATTCTGTGCTTCGTCATCATCATCATCATCGACGTCGTCGTCGTTGTCGCCTTCTGTTCAATTCTGTTACCATTTAAGGTAAATGGCAATGGGATCGAATGGCTTAGAGTGTTTGTTGCTGATGTTGTTGTACGAAAATTGTGTTGGGGTTCTTGTGCAACCTGAGAGAGTACATTATTTGCATTATGTTGCACATTTTTGGTATGAATGTACCGACAGACAGACGGAAACTTTTCTTTTGTTGCTTTTGTTTTTTGATATTGTTTTGCCTTTTGCCAATTGTATATTTGAATTTGGCAAATTTGAAATGTCCGAAAAAATTTCAAAAAAACAAACAAAAAATTGAAACCGTAAAGTTTTTGGAAGTTCTCAAAGTGTCTTAGGAAGTGCATATTTACAAATTGTTATTGTCCATTTGCAGCAATGCAATGCAACGCCAACTCCAACTACTACTTGCTTGGCAGCAGTTGCTGCCCACACCGACACCAGCATTCTAAATGCGAATTGTTCGGCAAATATGGCAATGCAGTGAATTGCACCGAATTTGCATTAAATTTAAATTCGAAAATATTTTTCAATGATCGTTTCATTTTATTTCATTTTCATTGAATGATTTAAAAAAACGGAATCTCCATAGGAGGGAATTGTAAAGGTATAATAACATTTTTTATATAGTTGAAATATCTTATAGCTCTTGTAACTATCTTGTGGACCTTAATGCTAAAACAAGACAATTTTGCACTTAAATTTCTTCTACTCCTAGGGTTTTTGAAGTTTTTAGCCGCGTGCTGCAATAAAATGGCTGCAATTTAGCATTTCGAGTTCTGTTATGGTAAAGTCCATTTATACAGAATATGTTTTTTACATAGGTCCACATTTGATCATATCCGTTCCATTTAGATACTTTTAAGGTTTTAGAAGCATATTCCCACCGAAGTGGCTGTAATTTAGCATTACGTGTTCCAGAAAAAAATATACATATTTGCCGAAAATAAGTCCATCTATAGACATAGCACCTCATCTAAAGAGGGGCCAGACCCATTTTCGGTACTCTGAAGTTTTTCGCCCGAAGTGGCCTTATTTATATATAAAGTGATTGACTGACTAAACGATTCATCAACCATTAACACTCTTAGTCGGAATGTGTCAGATAAGGCTGGGTTTTTGGAAATTCGTACTACCGGAGGATCATGCGATAGATGTACTAAAGGGTTTTTTTTTGGGAAATTCGAACTATAAGTATCCGCAAAGTTCTAAAATGTACCAAATTTGGTCTAATTTCGTAGCAAGTGAAGGGGGGAAGCTACAAAATACAAAGTGGGATCGACAAAAGAAGTGGTTTTGGAAGTGTGTACTCATTTATACAAAAATTACTTTATGGTACTATATTTGGTACAATTCGGATTTGGATAGCTGGAACACTAAAATCTGGAAATATGATTACGACTGCATTGCGGAAATTGGAAATTCTTATTTATGTTTATTAAAATTTGTAAAATTGAATTCTTGGATTCTAGGAAGTTTTGGAAATTTCGACTAATGTGTACTCATTTATACAAAAATGACTTTATGGTACTATATTTGGTACAATTCGGATTTGGATAGCTGGAACACTAAAATCTGGAAATATGATTACGACTGCATTGCGGAAATTGGAAATTCTTATTTATTTGTATTAAAATTTGTAAAATTGAATTCTTGGTAAACCGATGTAGGAAGTTTTGGAAATTTCGACTAATGTGTACCAAATTGCACAAAATTTGGTACAATTTGAATTTTAAAGAACAGATAGAGCTGGAATCTTGTTGCAGTGTAGAATTAGGGTATGAATGTAGGTTTGGAAATTTGTACTTATAAGTACTAAATGTATTAAATTTGATACTATTTGGATTTGGGTGAACCGATAGTGCTGGGACACTGAAATCTGGAAATAAGAATACTACTGCTTTATAAAATTGAGACATGTAAGTAGCTTTGGATGTCGTACTTATGAGTACTACATTTGATAAACTTTGAATTTTGGATGTACCGATAGATCTGGAATCCTGAAATTTGGAGTTAGGATCACTGTTGGGGTATGTAGGAAAATTTTGAATTATCTACGAATGTGTACCAAATGATACTAAATTTGGTACAATTTGAATTTTGAACGAACCGCTAGAGCTGGAATCCTGGTATATGGAGTTAAGATTGCTGTTGGTGTGTAGGATTGGGGTATGGATGTAGGTTTGGAAATTTGTACTTATGGGTATTAAATGGTACTAAATTTGATACAATTTGTATTTAGGTGAACCGATAGAGCTGGAATATTAAAAATTTGGAATTAAAATTGCTGCTGAAGTGTAGGATATGAATACTGCATCCATTTAAAATTGCTGCTGAAGTGTAGGATATGAATGTGGATGAAATTTGTACTTATAGGTACTAACTTTTATACAATTTTGATTTAGTTGAACCGATAGAGTTGGAATCCTGAAATTTGGAATTGGGATGACTATTTGGATTTAGGGAACCGTTTGGGTTGGAATCCTGAAATTGGGGGATATGATTTATATTGGATTGTTGATGTGGGTACTGATGGAAATTTATGTTAATGAGTACTAATTGGATTAGGATTAACCAATAGAGCTCCAATTATAAAACTTGGAGTTAGTTTAGAAATAAGTACTAGAATAGTAAGAAAGACATTAAATGTTACAAAATTTAGTATAGAGTTGAGATATGGAGGTGGTTTTGGAAATATCTACTATAAGAGAACAAAGGTACTAAATGGTACTAAAATTTAAATATTGTCTATATTGGAGTGTATGTTGATTAACTCTTCTGATATTTGCAGTTTTCTGCGGTTCTATATTCTGAGCCTGGCAATATTTCCTTATATTTGCACCCTCTTGACCGATAATAGGTTAACAGCGCCACTTCCTTATCTTGACATATTTTTCAATTCCTGTTTTCCAAAGGTGAATATTTACGTCATTAAATAAAAAAGTGGACACTTTAGGTTTTGGTTGATTTGACCATCGGAATATTGACCGATTATCATGTAAACAGTCGTTCTAAGTATTTGTTCAGATCCTCTTCACCGTGTAAAATATGTGACCATTACCGGAACGTCATGTAAAATTTAAAATCAGCGCGAAATTTCCACCAACTAGTGGGGTAATAGTAATTCTAAATACTATCATAACACAAAGACACTTTTAAATAGTTACGTATAACATCCGCATCCGAGTACATACAACAATGTAATTGGTATCAATATAAAGTTTAACCAATCCTCAAAGTCTTGGGTTTATGTCCTTCAGGAATATAAATTTTGTATTTTTTTCACAAAAAAGTCTGAGTCCGTTTGACCCGCTATATATTGACTACCATGCTTATTATTTGCCTGATGTAAAATTTCGTGGTGTTCGGCTCATAATTGTGGCCTCTAGAGCAACCAGAAAACAGAAAAAAATAAAGATTTTGGTCCATTTCATTCCCTAAATATTAACGGATCATTGCCAAAAACAAAATAGGTCTTCTTTTGTCAGAACCCATCCAACCCATTACTGTGGCCAGTATCGTGTGTACAACTTATAATGGACAGACGGACGGATACACATGTCTCCATCGACTTAGCAAGTCGTTATTTGACAATCGGTACACTTAAAGGTAGGATTAGGACTAATATTAGGTTGGGGAAAAAAGAAATCCATTAGGCCGATCGTCGAAAATGTCGATAAAATCGGAGAAATTATCGAAGTTGACTCAGAAGCTAAAAATTGACCAAAAAAACTGTTTTAAACTAAACTGTTTAAACTACTAAATAATATCTGAATACATAAGCACCTGTAAATGTTTAAGTGTAACTCCCACATCTGAGTACATACGACCATATAATTGGTATCAACTTAAAGGCCAACCACTGTCCTTGGATATACCAACAACTTTTCGGGTCTATGTCCTTCAGGTGTGAATCTATATGCTATAGAATACAAACTTTGTAATTTTTCACACAAAAGTCAGGGTCCATTTGACCCGCTAAATATTGCCCGATCTTTATCAAAACAGGCATGCTTATTCTTTGGCTCGATCCCCTTCTCTATGTAAAAATTCGCGATGTTTGGGTCATAATTGCGGCCTCTACAGCGACCAGAAAAAGCGATAAAAATTAAGTATTTGGTCCATTTCACCCCCTAGATATTAACCGATCTTTACCAAAAACAATAGGGGTCTTCATTGGGCAGAACCCACCCTACATGCAAAATTTCGTGAAGAATGGTCCATAACTGTGGCCTGTATCGTGTTTACAAAATATAATGGACAGACGGACGGACGGACACACATGTCTAGATCGACTCAACTAGTCGAGATATGACGATTGGTATACATAAAGGTGGGTCTAGGACCAATATTTCGCGGCGTTACAAACTCTTGGGGCTGCACAAAGCTATAATACCCTGGCAACATAGTTGTGTAGGCTATAATGATAGGTCGAATTTCCAACTGCGAAGCCTTGTCCAAACGGAATGAGATAAACCCATTTCATGACTTGAGATGAGAAATGGATCGCATACGATAACCGTGTGCGAAAACGTTCGTGGTCAAAGAGCGGTGAAGAACCTCAAACGGTGGCTAAACCAGGACTAACGGCCAGGAAAGTTCTGCTATGTATTTGGTGGGACTGGGTTGGGATTATTTATTATGAGTTTCTTCTATATGGCCAAACGCTATATTCTGATCTCTATTGCCAACAAATGGGCCGTTTGAAGATAGCAATTGTCCAGAAACGGCCAGAATTGTCCAACAGGAGAGGTGTTCTACGAGGACAAGTCTAGGCCACACACATCTACAGTGACTCGCTAGAAACTTCGGGAGCTTGGTTGGGAAGTTTTAATGCATCCGCCATACAGGCCGGACTTGGCGAATCGGAAGAATTGGACATGGTTTCAATCTGGAGCCCGATTTTGATCTTCCGTAATTTTTGAGTTGATTGTCCGTTAGTAAGCGGGACAGCTGTCCTCGGTTAGTGATCAACAACTCGGTGGATGCTGCGGACTACATTGTGCCCTTTGATCTTTAAACGGTTATCACAAATTTCAATAGGATTCCTCCATGTGCCAATTCACAAACAATGAAAAATTTCGGAATGTTGGAACCCTCTACTAAGAGGCCAAAAGCAGCCATTACATATAATTAATATGCGCCTCTTAATATACAATGTTAAAAAATCTTCCTTCAAATTCCGATCGTTTAGATTGCTCATGAATTAACCAATTGATATTATTAAATAAACACACTGAATTGACGGATTTGTGTCCAGCTTATCTTTTAGCCACATCTGCAAACGCACATCCTTTACAATAGGCACATTTATTGACTGTGGAACTCCCATAGAATACACCATTGTAATTTCTTAACTCCAACTGTTGCTTGTATCGAATAATTTGTAATCATCTCCTAACAATCTACATCAAAGCAGTTAAATATTTCAAATCAATGGGAGAGCATCTTCATGACATGACTAATTCAAATTACTGTTGTGGAATT